CCTTTAGAAATTCCCCTTTAAGTTCCATTGAAGAAATGCTATCTTTGACAGGAAGATCATACGACGGAGATGGTAATTTTGTGACAATGAGCAACTCAGTCCACTTCTAAATTAGAGATTTTGAAAAACTCCAAAAAATCCTTTTGAATCTTAATTTATTCAACTCGCAACCAAAACCATACCCTGAGTATACGTTCATCAACTGAAGTCGATTCGAGATTTTTTACGAACGCCTCGAAAATTCTCATTCTATCAAATACACTCTATAATCAATCATTTGACAGTCGAAAGTTGTTGAGCAATTCAATTCAATTGTTGTATTGTTGACTTCGGTTGTCAACACTCATCAACGCATCCAGTAAACAGTATATGCTACAGAATGAGAAATCGATTCGAACTGTGAAGTGAAATGAAACAAAGTGAACGAGAAAAACTCATGAAGAGAATGATATTCGCATGTAATAGCTATGAGAGTGAATAGAACACGTCTGAAAAGAATGAAAATTCATCTGAATCAGTTCGAAGTGAGCATGTCACAGACAGTAGCTTTTCATGCAATCATAAACAATTGTAATAATACGCAACACAACGGTGTTCTAGGATAGTGGTTCTCATCGAGAGTGAAATTACCCGTTCTGGGTATTGTCATGGGGGAGGGTAACGGTGACCTGCCAGATCATTGGAGTAATGGAGCATATGAACTTGAGAACCACTGGATTGTAAGATGATTTTTCAATGTGACTGAATCTTTTTGATCTCAAATCTGACTTTTTATCTTAGAACTCTAAAAGGCTTCCATAAAGTTACATCTCATCACACTGAATAAATCCACATATTTTAAGCTGTCATTAAAACTGATGAATTTTTAAGCGACCAAAATGACCTTTACCAATAATTGCAATATCAGCGATTTATCATTAGTAAGAGCATATTCAACCTCAATAAAACATTCAGCTCACTCACCTTCGTTAACTATTTGGGAAAGAGCAGTGAGTAGAGTGGATGCTAGGTTGTAAGTGCGATACTGGAGCGCAGCTCTCAGCAGTTCTCCGATTGTTCGTTCGTTTTTACCGAGTATATTCAGAATCACGTATATGATCGCTTGCCAGCCATTTCTTACCACCAGACTCACCAAACTCGAACATTCCATTGGAAGTTGATGCTTACTTCGTTTCGGTATCCATACCCATCGCTCGTCGTCAACTTTGTCGAGCTTATTTTCAGATGTGACCTAAAAATCTTGATGAATTTTCCATAACCCTTACTGAATATATTGCATTATATAGACCTTTCTCTACCTATTTATAGCTTAAAAACTCTGATCGAACGAATATATCGTATTGTATGGAGGTTACTGGATACTATTAATCAATCATCGGATACTACTCTGTGAGTAAGGAAAAACTTAGTAGCTGATGAACGCCAAGGGAAGTCAAAACATTGACCTGGATGGCGACATCACTTTTTGCTTGAATCAACGTCAGGGTACACGCTTCGTTTCGATACAAGACTGCGATTCCGAGCGGTGTATTGCGTTTCTTGTTCAGTCGATCCAGCTGACAACCTCGACCCAGAAGGGTCACTGCACAAACATTTGCATCACGACGAGCCGCATAATGCAGTGGAGTGTTTCCTCGTAAATCGGGCCAATCCAACTGAATTCACTTATTCCGTCATTCATTCATGCTTACCTGAACGTATCTGCAAATCGAGATAATAAATGAGTAAACTACCTTATCTCTTTCCATCGCATGTTCCAAAACAGATACCACCGCTACTGGATCAATACTTTTCTCCGATTCATCAACACATTCCTCTCCGATCGCAATGAATGCATAGTGCAACGGCAAACGTCCATAAGCGTCACTGAAACATCATAAGCATATTATATTTCGGATTTACCTGTCATGAATCAGTCATTCAGTAGTGTAATGGCATTTATTTATGCACGTAAAAGCATTCAACAAATAGGTTGGTACTTCTTCGTAGAGAAAAAAATGTATCTCTTCTACAATTCATCTTTGCCCTCCATACATATTTCCTAAGTGTAATTCATATCGGCGGTCTCTGGTCGAACCCTAATTAAGCCGTAAAGATGGTAGTCTTAGTTTATGAGATCGAAGTTGGGTTTCTGGGAAATTTCCATTTCCCAGAGGATATCTTTTGTGTCAGGTTCCTAGCAGTAATTCATTCGAATGATGAGGCCAACTTACGGCGCATGAATGCCAGGTCCATTACGAATCAACCAATTCAATGGTTCCGTCAGAACGTCTACACCGCCATCGCGAACCGAATCTACGGCTATATGAAGCGGATATTGTTCAAGGGCATTCGCCTGAATGTTTCGATACATCAAGTGATATAGGTTCAGCGTGGTAATTCTATTATTACTGATTGTTACTCAGAATTGTAATTTTTTTTGAATCAGTCGATCCAGCTGAATCTCCTCATTCAGAAAAACATATATTTTG